AGGAGAAAGAAAAAGGGTAAATATATATACAGACTCTAAGTATGCTTACCTAGTCCTCTATGCCCATGAGGCAATATGGAGAGAAAGGGAATTCCTAACTTCTGAGGGAACACCTATCAAACATCAGGAAGCCATCAGGAGATTATTATTGGCTATACAGAAACTTAAAGAGGTGGCAGTCTTACACAGCTGGGGTCATCAGAAAGGAAAGGGAAATAAAAGGGAACAGCCAAACAGATATTGAAGCAAAAAGAGCCACAAGGCAGGATCCTCCATTAGAAATGCTTATAGAAGGACCCCTAGTATGGGGTCATCCCCTCTGGGAAACCAAGCCCCAGTACTCAGAAGAAGAAATAGAATGGGGAACCTCACGAGGACACAGTTTCCTCCCCTCAGGGTGGCTAGCCACCGAAGAAGGAAAAATACTTTCACCTGCAGCTAACCAATGGCACACTGTGAAGTGTTCCAAAGAAATAATCCCCTGCACTGCAGGTTATACATTTCAATCCCTGTATCTTTAACCTTCTTGTTAAGTTTGTCTCTTCCAGAATCGAAGCTGTAAAACTACAAATGGTTCTTCAAATGGAGCCCCTGATGCAGTCCATGACTAAGATCTACCACAGACCCCTGGACAGGCCTGCTAGCCCATGCTCTGATGTTAATGACATCGAAGGCAACCCTCCCGAGGAAATCTCAACTGCACAACCCCTACTACACCCCAATTCAGCAGGAAGCAGTTAGAGCGGTCGTCAGTCAACCTCCCCAACAGCACTTGGGTTTTCCTGTAGAAAGCGGGGACTGAGGGACAGGAATAGCTGGATTTCCTAGGCCGACTAAGAATCCCTAATTCTAGCTGGGAAGGTGACCGCATTCACCTTTAAAACAGGGCTTGCAACTTAGCTCACACCCGACCAATCAGGTAGTAAAGAAAGCTCACTAAAATGCTAATTAGGCAAAAACAGGAAGTAAAGAAATAGCCAATCATCTGTCGTCTGAGAGTACAGCGGGAGGCACAATGATCGGGATATAAGCCCAGGCATTCAAGCTGCCAACGGCTATCCTCTTTGGGTCCCCTCCCTTTCTATGGGAGCTCTGTTTTCACTCTATTAAATCTTGCAACTGCCAAAAAAAAAAAAAAAAAAAAAAAAAAGGGAAGAAAAAGAAAAGAAAATAAACTCTTTGATCCCACAATATTTAAAATAAGTGAAAATTTTAAAAAAATACAGAAATGACGAACTCAAAATTTCCCCTCTTTTGGGGACAGGTACATATCATCAAGAAGAAATACATTAGCAACGTCAAAGGTTCTGATTCTTAAGTTGGGTGATGGGTAAATATGTGTTTGCTTTATTATTCTTTAAACTGTATGTGTATAATACATTCTTGTACAGGATGAATGTTTTAATATAAAGAAATACAAAAATTTTATAAAAATAATGCAAATAGTCTGTCACAGAAGGTGCTCAATATATGGTAATTCTTACATAAGTAATAATAAAATTACATAATGCAATTAACTACAGTGTACACTGATCTAGAGCTAAGCTTAGTAATAAATGAGTTTTGTTGAAAGTTCACACTAGATGAATACCACATGTCATGTTAGGTAAGCTCTTACATTTAAGTTGGAAGTAACATGTTTTATCAAAAAGTAGGTCTCATATGTAAGCACAGTATGTATGGGGAAAAAAGTAAAATAAGTTGGTTCCAATAATTTATTAAATGACTAAGGTCATCTTTTAACCTGAAGCAAAAATAAAAGTTTGTTAATTAGACAAATAAATGTACTGAAGTTTTTCTGATGTCTGAATGATGAATTTTAAAAATTGCTTTGTTACAATATTAGTCACACACCTTTCAGCCTAATACAAAGAACATTTCATTAACATTGGGTATGTCATTGCTCTCTACAGTTTTCTTGAAATGTTACAGAAATGGCAAGAGGTAAAAGTAAATACCAGTGAAATGGCATCCATATCCCAAAGCATCTTCCATAGGTATAAATATACAGATAATGCAGAGGTACGATATTTGGATTTCAAGCCAAGCAATAAATTGTATCCCTATTTGCTAAGTTTATAATGCATATTTTTAAGTTTAATATTAGGATCAAATGAGACATATCCTATTCATACTTTGATACAATATATCACTACAAATAACTATGCTGAAATAACATTAAAATATCTGTATATTAAATCATTCTCAGAGTATTCATAGAAAGAGACAAATGTAAATCCATTTTATGGACAAGGAATTAAATAACTAGTTCAGTGTTATAAATATCTCTACTTAAACCAATAAAATATAAAAGACTTCATGACAATGCCACATGTATATATACATATGTCTGAACATACATGTTTGTCATGTATGCGTGTGTGTGTGTATATATATATGACATTGTCTTGACAGGTAATTTCCTTAATCAAATTCTAACCTCTCTGCTTTCCTTAAAAATTGTACCAGGTAGGCTAATTACTTAATAAATTCATAATTAGCAAACATCCTTTCCTTGTGAAATTTTATTAAAACACGTTTTCGAGCTGCCACATGTAATGTTTATAGAAGATGAAAAATATATACTAATTTATTTTATTTTAAATACCTGATCATATTGGCCATATTTATTACTGAATAGGAATATGTTAAAACGTAATGGACAATAAAGTTGAATGTGTCTACAAAGTAGCAACCAAGAGAAGGACCTATTTCAAGCTGAGGTGATACTGATATTATGACATTAATATGTAACTATGCAAAACAAGAAGAGTAGCTCAAGAAATAATTTGGGTGGATAGACGCTAATGTAGATTTTAGGAAAAAAGTTATTAAGATAAATAAATTTCAGATTCTGAAAAAAAAGAATGCTTTACTAAGTAAAATTAACAAGTCTATCTTGATTAAGATCAGAGGCAGAATTTATATCAAATGTGGGTTTCTTTGATGTAAAACTGGCATTTTACTTTTCCACAAAAATAATTTGTTTAGACTTAAAGTGGAACCAAAACTGGAATTCAGATTTAATGGCCAAGAAACTCATATTTCTCAGAATCAATACAAATTTTGATTTTCATACCTCTAAGAATATTTATCAGATTAAAAATAATATCATGTGCTAGAAAAATTTAAGTAAAATAACAAAGTCTGTCAGGTAAAGCAATTAGCTGGATAAATTTCTCCTTATCCAGAAGAATGAACATCTTGGATGTTCAGAAATGTATACTAAATCAGTATCATTGAATAATTATTCATTTTTAGATATGTAACAGTCATGCTTTTAAACTTCAAACACTCTATTTTTGAAAATGTTACTATTAACTGATTGCAGACCAAGTGTTAGCCAGAACTTACATTTTAGCCACAAACAGAAACACATGTTACAAAAGATACTCAGGATTTTGAAAGTATAAAGGAAACATCTCAAGTATCTAATTAACTGGAAAATTTTATGGAGCACAAACCAGCTATTTAAACACTAATAGGTACTACAGGGTCTGTGGTGAAGACACTTATAATTTCATTGATAAAACAAGATGTTGAAAAGATTACAGGGCACCAAAAAGTGAAGGTAAGTGCTATTAATGTGCAAAAGAAGGTAATGTTGGTCTGAACTATAAGAGTTAGCAAAGTCTGAATGAAGGAGATGGAATTGAATGACAAAATCCAGGACATCCTGCCTCAAAGTACAGCACTTTGGTGTTTAAGAAAATGGCAGAAGCAGGAAGGTCTTTCTTACCTTCTCTCACCTTTTCTCCCCTGAAGTGGGCCATAAAACCCAGCTGATTCTCCCCTAAAAGCAGATTAAAAGACCCTCATTCCAGAGAGGTCCTCCCTATACCCAGAGGAAAAGAAGTATCTTCAACTCTGAAGACACAGAGATGTTAAGAATCTGAACAACCAGGCCTTGCTATGCTCCCCCCAGTTTATTACCATTAGATTACACCCTTTTGTGCTCCAACTACACTTTTGTATGACTGTTCATAAAAATACAGTTTTCCCTGTTTCTTTGGGTTTTCATTTCTGAAGGTTCTCATGTCATGTAAAACATACATTAAATAAATCTGCATGCTATTTTCTTGTTAATCTGTCTTTTGTTATAGGTGTCTGGGCCATGAATCTACCGATGGGTGAGAAATCTTTTCTCCCCTGTGTGAGTTAGAATTTAGATAAGATTTAAATTGGCAATGAGAAAGGACTATCATAGGACCAAGCAAAGGTATGGATATAGGAATAAACAGACGGTGTACTTTATTTTAGCTATGCATTTTAATACTCTTCCTAAAATGTAAAAATGCTTTATCCTCAAAAACTGACAGGAAGGTAGAGGTTGTGGACTTTCAGCAGTATATCCATTTTACATTAAAAAAAAAAAAAAAAAAAATGGCTTATTTTTCCCTTCAGATCCCTGGTAACCTGATAAGAAATGCTTCTGAGTGCTTTTCTGCCTTTACTTTTTCTTTTTTAATTATCTTAAGTTTCTTTTACATCAGAGTCTCAATGTTCCACTTTCCCCAGGACTATTTTTTAGTGCTTTAGTATATTGCCACCATCTTTCTATTTAGTGGACATCTGACTATTTTGTTCTTTAAAATTTTGTTTCTCTTTACTTAAAAAAATTGAATAATGGACTATTACTTGATTGCATTTATTGCCATTATCTATGAAGCCTCATCTACTTTGCCATAATTTGTTACATCTTTGCATACATTCTAGACTGTAAAAATCATATTTGTCTTATTCTCATAGGAGAAAACTGTTTGATCCAAATGCCAATTTAATTACGAAAGATTTTATTTCTATTTTGTACTAGTGAACCAACATGAACTACCAAATTCAAATGTGAATTAAATAATTTAAATCCAAACTGCCATTCATTTAATTGTAAATAAGTAACTTCAAGAAACTAATGACTCCAGTACTTTATCCTCTCAAAGAAGGAGAGTACTTCTTTCCTGTTTTTGTCTTACAGAAGAAAAATGAAAATTTAAAGGATTTACCATTTCCAGTTTCTCTGCCTTAAAGCGAACAGAGGGATTTAGGGAGATCTTTTCTTGTAGTCCATAATTTTCAGTCCAGGCAGAAGCAACATCTAAGAGACAACAGGGTGCACATTAATTGGGAACTTAATTGGAATAGAAATTTTCATTTGACAGGATACGTTCTGAGTTCCTGCTGTTCAAAAATAATTCTAGCTAATCAGTTGGCAGCTTTTAGTTTTGTTTTCGTAACTTTTTCTTTTTTTTTCCTTTTCTTTTCTTTTTTCTTTTGAGACGGAGTCTCACTCTGTCACCCAGGCTGGAGTGCAGTGGTGTGATCTTGGCTCAATGTCCGCCTCCCGGGTTCAAGCGATTCTCCTGCCTCAGCCTCCCAAGTAGCTGGGACTACAGGTGCATGCCACCACGCCTGGCTAATTTTTGTATTTTTAGTTAGAGACAGGGTTTCATTATGTTGGCCAGGCAGGTCTCAAACTCCTGACCTCAAGTGATCCGCCTCCCTGGGCCTCGCAAACTGCCGGGATTACAGGAGTGAGCCACCGCACCCGGCCAGTTTTCATAATTTTTTTAAGTCTAAATTTTTTATATAAGCTGTCTTCACTTAAGTCCTAAGATACAAGAGTAACCAATTATGCATTGTGAAGTCCCAAAGATATATTAACTTAAAAGACAAACATACATCCCACCACTACTACATCACCACAATGCCTTAAAAAGATAAAAAGTCTTTTTGTTCAAAGATGTTGATATTTTTTCAAGTGGTAAAAGTGTTTTGTGATGTGAATTCTGGAAGTACTCTGGAAAAAAAACATAAATGCAAGTCATTTCAAGTTTGCACATAAAGTATTATATAGATTCTGTACTTTGAGCTAAAAATCTTATCTCTTATTTTAAAGACAGGTTACATTTCAAGTAGCATAAATGAATTTTCAAGAGCTAAAAGTCATACACTTCTTATCCATTTTCCTACATCTTCTCAATATACCCTGATTATTTAAACAAGCCTTTGTCCTTATTGCATGAATAAAAAAGATGCTACAAAAGACCAGAACTTGAAATACTGTATGTTTTAATATGCCAAAGTTTGTAAAACAAATTCCTGTAATTCATGTTGATCTTACTATCTAAATTGCCACTATTCTAAATACACTTTTAAATGATATTTTACTAGTTCTACATAGAAACAAGAGGAAGAAGAAAAATCTTTGGAAAATGTCACATCTTTATGCAGTGTTTTAATTTTTTAAAATTTCTCAGAGCATCTGTCTCTAAGTACAAAATGATTTGCATTCTCTTAAGAATATAAGAAGTGCACATGAAAATAAATAGTCTTCCTCTAAACCTTTAACACATCCTTAACATTCTATGTAAAATCTTTAATATAGCTTATAGGTGTCAAGATCATAAAAAAATGGATGCTGACTTTTAGCTTCAAATGGAATTAAACTTTGAAAAAGACTGATTTTAGTATTAAATAGAATTTTTACAATTCTGATAAAAGTAAGTGAATCTCCTTTGTAATCATACCTAATTGTTGGCTATGAAATTAAAAATAATATATACATAGTGTATATATATACACACACATACATACACATATATTCACATACATATGTGGGTATGCATATATATACACACACATATACACACATATACATATACACACATATATGTATATGTGTGTGTATATATACATATAATTTTTTTATATACATACATGTAATTTTTTTCCTCTCCTAAGAGAAATTCTACGCCAAACCTAAAGTGTAGTATAAAGATCAGCATGGAGTGGAATGATATGGAAGACCAACCAGCAGATAACTTTATTTTTCATCCTTTAAGGTTTGGATATGTGAAGCTTGTCCAACGACTTCCAGCTTGGTGTTTGGCCTGCAATTAAGGCACATTAACACTAGGTGGACCCAAGTGAACCTGATTATGGTCTCAAAGACTAAACTTGGGCTTGAATTATTCATTTCAAGTGTTAAGTAATTGAAAGAGTTGCAGAGGGGAGAGCAAGGGGAAGAGAAGAGAATGAGAGAAGGTGAGACAGGAACACTTACAACATTGACATACTGAGGAATGTGTTCTCACGTTTTCCTACATCTAAGCATAAAAATTTGCTATATTGGCCAGGTGCAGTGGCTCATGCCTGTAATCCCAGCACTTCGGGAGGCCAAAGCGGGCGGATCATGAGGTCAGGAGATCGAGACCATCTTGACTAACATGGTGAAACCCCGTCTCTACTAAAAATACAAAAAATTAGCCGGGCATGGTGGCGGGTGCCTGTAGTCCCAGCTACTGGGGAGGCTGAGGCAGGAGAAAGGCGTGAACCCGGGAGGCGGAGCTTGTAGTGAGCTGAGATTGTGCCACTGCACTCCAGGCTGGGCGACAGAGAGAGACTCCATTAAAAAAAAAAATGCTATATCTAACAGTGAAAAGAACAGAAGCTCCTATCTTCTATCTAAACAGTAAACTATATACCTATATAAGCTCATTAATCTTCACAGTGACCACAGATGTTATTATTCCCATCCCAAAGATAAAAGACCAAGGCAGGAAAAGGTAAAGAAATTAGCCTAGGTCACATAGCTAGTACATGATAATGTTAGGAGTCTAATCTCTTGTGACTCCAGACCAATGTTCTTAAATGTGTTCAACATCTTTAATAATGGGTTTGCTCATCTACAAAGTTGGAGGAATAAACCAGATTGCCTCATAGGAGTTAGAAGATCAACAATATCATAGAAAACAACTGTGAAAACGTATACAGTATTATTAATATCAACATAGAGACACTGTATTATAAGGAGATTTAATGTAAAATTATACTAACCTTCATTTAACAATATGCAATCAGGGCTTAACAAAATCTTTTTCCAGACAACTTACACCTTTACTTTTGAGTTAAAACCTTAAGAGGGTCTGTGTATAACTCCAGCATACTTTGTCAATTCAGAGTAGCTTTACCCGAAAGCCCCTCACAGACAGTTTTCCTCATCTGCCAATGACATCTCTCTATCCCAGCCCCAAGCTCTTTATTTGCTCCTCTCTGGGGGAGTGAGTTTTTCCAAGTACCGCTTATTATTCTCTTGGATCTCTCTCCTTCTTGTCCTTCTCCTTCTCCTCCTCCTTCCCCTTCCTCCTCCTTCTCCTTTCTTTAGAGACAGCGTCTTGGTCTTGCTCTGTCTCCCAGGCTGGAGTGCAGTATCCTGAACATAGCTCACTGCAACTTTGACCTCCTGGGCTCACGTGATCCTCCCACCTCAGATTCCCAAGTAGCTGGAACCACAGGTGCATGCCACCATGTCCAGCTAATTTTTTAGTTTTTGTAGAAACAGGGTCTCGCAATATTGCCCAAGCTGGTCTTGAACCCCTGGGCTCAAGTGATTTCTCCCATCTCGACCTTCCAAAGTGCTGAGATTATAGGTGTGAACCATCATGCCTGGCTCCTCTCAGATCTTCTGTTCCTATCCTCTTTGTAGCAGCAGAAGAAAAGGAATGTTTTGTAAGGAAAGGATCAATACAATTTACTTAATACCACGAACTCTGAATGGATATTTTTTCCCATAACTACTTTATTTCAGTTTCAAAAGACTTGGTCTAAAGGAATTAAGTCTTTACACTATTAGTAAAGTTAAAATAATGACTATTTCTTCATGCAACAATTCTTTTTTTTTTGAGATGGTGTCTCGCTCTGTTACCCAGGCTGGAGTGCAGTGGCATAATCTCAGCTCACTGCAACCTCTGCCTTCTGGGTTTAAGCAATTCTCCTGCCTCAGCTTCCCGACTAGCTGGGACTTCAGGCATGTACCACCATGCCTGGCTAATTTCTTTTTTTTTTTTTTGCATTTTTAGTAGAGATGAGGTTTTACTATGTTGGTCAGGCTGGTCTCGAACTTCTGACCTCAACTGATCTGCCCATCTCGGCCTCTCAAAGTGCTGGGATTACAGACGTGATATTCAACTCATATACAGCACTAGTGAACAACTCTGGATTTTGAAATAAATTTCTGTAATAGCATCGTTTTTGAAAACATTTAAATATTATGTGGATTTTAAAAATTCTAACCAATTTTTACACTTTGGGATGATTTTTAGATAAGAACAGACATAGAACTATCTAATTACATTTACTTTTGTTGAGGTTAACATTAAAATTTGTTTATATTTTTTGAATTAGTATCAGGTAACTGAAGGAATCTAGAAGTGATGGTTAATTTCTGATTTGTAACCATCTATAATTAGGTACTTATAACATGCAAATCACAATATATATAAATTATCTAGAGAGAATTTAGAGGTGAATTTGCCTTTTTTCCACTCCCCAGAAATATCTTGCCTATTACATTTATGTAGAAGAAAATGAGACTGAGTTGACACAATTTCTACTCTAGAAAAATGTTCCATCTTAATTGTATTTTAGTATTTACTTTACCTATAACTTACTTAAATATACTTTTCACTAACCTATTTTTCTACTACAAAATCTACCACTGTTCTTACAGCGACTGGTATAAATTTACCTGAGATTATTTACTGTTAACAAGATCTCTGTTCTAATCACACCTGACTCTTAGAGTCATCTGACCTCTAGTTCATCCTTAGTTCTTTCATTTGTGGTGCTTCCTTAACTTGAAATGATCTCCTGTGTTCAGTTATCAATTGATGTTTACCACGTTTTTCAAGATATGGATAATGTCTGACTTTTGACAAGAAATTTTTCTTAATTTCTGCATATTGTGACAGATTCCTTATTATATACTAGTTTTTGAGGTCAAGGGGAGGACATAAAATTGAATCAAGAATTGGAAGCTTTTCCTTCTGCTCTATAAACACGACCTAGAATATTATCTGAGCTATACTCTAAGCTATAGGTTCTGTATTATTAGTAACAGGAAAATTTAGTAGGCATATACTATGCACTAATTACAATATAAGTGCTTGACATGCATGATCTTGTTTAATCCTCATAACAACTCCGTGTAACTTGTAACTCTTTCAAGGTTACAGAGTTAATAAGATGAAAGCAAGAACTTGAACACTGAGTCTGTATCCAGAGTCTGGTGGTAACCACTGTGCCTTCCTTATACCATACTCATAGCACTCACTACTTCTTTCCTTAGGCCTCTATGTTCATGTCTTTACATAATTTGTTTAAATGTGTTATTTACCCACAAGACAGAATGGTTTTTAGAGTAACAAAACCACCCACATCCTGCTCCGATTAACACAAAAAACTGCAAATAGTAGCTGCTTGATAAAATAAACATACACACACATCTATAAACAAACACATGCATATAAATTAGAATGTTTCCTAATTTGAATAATTAGAATTTTTAGCCCCATGTTTTATTTCACAATATACTATTAAGTATCTCACAGAAAATATCCTAATTTCTTCATAAATCCCATTGTACTGTATTCTATATAACACAGTAAATCCTTACTGAATAAAAGGTTAAAAGAGGCATTGAATAGTTCAATTACTTTAAAAGTTAAAAACATGTTATATAATTATTAATAATTTATAATATAATCAAGGAATAAAGGATTCTGACTTCCATCATCCAGCAATTTTGATGTTCATCTCATGACTGTTTCATTTATCTTTTTCTTCTCATATGGGTTCCCAGTTTAAAATAAATATAGTACATCCAGAGACTGGAAATTAATTATGTAAGAGGAATAATACTATAAAGTTTCTAAGGGTCAATAAATCTAAGTAAAAGCAAATATAACTCATGGCTGAAGATTGCTATTAACCCACTGGTAAATACCACCCCAAATCGGAGTCAACCACTGTGGAATATAGTATAAACTCCTGTAAAGATTGGCAGCTATTGGGCTGGGAGCAGTGGCTCATGCCTGTAATCCCAGCACTTTGGGAGGCTGAGGCAGGCAGATCACGAGGTCAGGAAATCAAGATCATCCTGGCTAACACGGTGAAATCCCGTCTCTACTAAAAGTACAAAAAATTAGTTGGGCATGGTGGCGGGCACCTGTAGTCCCAGCTACTCGGGAGGCTGAGCCAGGGGAATGGCGTAAACCCAGGAGGCAGAGCTTCGACACAGTGAGAATCTGTCTCAAAAAAAAGATTGGTTGCTATTTAATTTAAATTAATGCTTCCTTATTTTTCTGTTCTTACATGAATAATGGTATTAAAACAAAACTAAAATATACAGGTAAAAATTTGCATTATAATTAGGCATATATAATTAGTTTTTCAGTTATGTTTAGTCTTTTTATCGTTGTGTTTAACTTTTGGAGATAATTTCAGGGGACTTTTTCTTGATATTGATCCTGTAAACACCTTACAGCCAAATAAAAATCCTTATTTTACACTTGGCTTAGATAATTAATGCTTTATTGTTTTAAAAAGTCAGTAAATCATTTTATGGTAATTAAGAATCAATAATAATGAATTAACAATACTGACATCCTTTCTGATTGATATCCATATGATTTCTTCCAAAAAAACAAGACACATTTCTTTTCTTAAGGTATGCTCCCTTCTATAATGTGTTTTCTGAAAGGTGTATTTAATATGCCTCATCAGTATTGCACTAAAAGGACACGGCAACCTAATCTTGATCTTTATAGAAGACTTTTCATTATTTGATTTAAACAATTCATGAATTATTATAGCTTTATAAACACTGTTATGACAATGCATCTTTTGAAATTTCAACTCTTTGTTCAGGGAAATTTCTAATAAAAGTCATATTTTAACAGGGACCAACATAAAGACATTATTTTTACTTTTTCATTCACTGAAGGAACAAAGACATAATTCACCCTTCTTCGAAAAGGGTCTTAAGTCACATTACATACTCCTCATTGTGAGAGAATTGAAAAAAAAAAAACAGGAAAGAGAAATTAAACGTGTATTTACCTGTATTAGACAAACCCACAGAACAGTTTTCTGAAGAAGTAATTGGAATCTGTTCTGTTTTGTTGTATCCAGTTTTTATCTGTGAAAGAAAATGAGGAACATGCAATGTCATTTACTAAAGTAGGTCACTTGAAGCCCATGTTAACATAAAAAGAATGGTTACAGAGATTAAAGTAATTGTCCCTCAAACATGAACCCTCTAAAATTTTGGTATATGCATCTTCAAACAAAGCAATTCAGAATTAAAGGTAACAATTGCTTTCAGCTCTACCACATCCAAGGATAACAAAATATAAGGCCACACATGTTGTCTTTTAAAAGTATTATAGCTGCAAGTGACAAAGTATAAGGGGCTGACAGAAAATCGTTTACTCTGTCTCTGTTCAGCATGTACCAGAGACTGAAGTTACCTTTGACGAATTTTATTCTACTGACTAAAAGCATAAGTTCCCTATTTTACAGCTAACACAGACATAAATAATACACACTTTATTCTATAACTGTAATTTGTTAGGACAGTATAGCAGTTGGTAATTGAGTATGTTAATTCTGATATAGAAATTGCCCATTTTGTGTGATTCTACTTGGGTGAACTATAGCACGCATGAAGGTGCAATACCCTCTTAGACTGGATTAGCCTGGGATTAGCCTCACTGTGTGGGAAAGAAGCTAAGGAACAAAAGGAAGATGGCCTGACTTCAGTCAAGCAGAGAACAGAAATGGCAAATAACTAAACCAACTGAAACTAAATATGACATTCTTAACATAGTTTTGAGTGATATCTAGGCATACCTTTGTGGAACCATTTTGTCATGCTGGTATTTTCTAACCCATCATGCTTCTGGCCACAGGACATGCTGACTTAAAATATGTTTATTGAAAACATAGCATCAAAATTTTAAATAGAAAAAAATAAAAAAAACTTTCAAAGAAATATTAATTTGTTAACAATTTTACTGAAATAATTCTATATGTATATAACCAATGTAAAAATGTATAGGGAATTTATGGAGTACATACATAAATTTAAGATTACCTGACTTACCTCACAAGAAGGTAAAATGGCATTATTTGTTTTGGGAGTGGATGAGGTCTTTGGGATTAGTATTTCAGGAGGAGAAGAAAAAAAACTAAATGTTGAGGCTTGAGGTCCATATTCTCCTGAAGCTTCTACAAGTGATGTACATGACAGATTTTCTGGCTGAATGTTGTCGGATTTTTGTCTGATGAATGCTATCTCCCAAGCAGATTCTGACCTAGTATTAAAAAGAAATCACTTTATGGATATGCTACGAATACAGTACAACTGAATTCCAAGATAATGTTTCAAATGTTATTAAAAAATATTTCTTATAAAGTACTTAACACATCTTAAATTACTGCTTCCAAGGAGACATCTTAAATGACTCATTCTATCCCATGGGTAGTATAGTTACCTCAACTTGGCTCTGGTAATTATGCTTTTTGCCTCTTCAAATGATACACCAATCATAGATTCCTTGTTGACTGAGACAAGTTGATCTCCTGGTTTCAAACGACCATCCTAACAAAAACAGTAACATTTATAAAGGAACTAATGAGGTATTTAAAAAAAATTGATGCAATTAAAGCAATGAAAAGTTTTTGTGAAGAACACCTTCAAAAAGAGTAAAAAGTAAAATCTTAGACAATCTGAGTAGCAAAATGTCTTGATTAAAGTCTGGTTTAGTAATATATATGAGTAAAATGGAATGGTTCATGCATTCCATGAATAAATTTACATGCTAAAGAATTCTGAATATGGCAGGTAGGACATAGGCCAGTATACCAGGAAAAGGGACCTGTTTTAAAAACTGAGCACTATGAGGCTGATCAAGCTCTGACTCTGTGATAAAGTGGGCCAAATAACTGTGGGATTATTTCAGAATACAAAACTCATTTACTTTAATTTCTCTGCATTCCTACATATTTCCTCCCACCGAACTGTTTAATATGCAGTTATCCCACATTGAAATTTTTAAAACTTTAGTCAAGGGTCTTTTTTTAACAAAATTTTTAAATTTTCAAAATTTTTTGTAGAGATGAGGTCTCATAACACTGCCTAGGCTGGTCTCAAACTCCTGGGCTCAAGCCTAGGATCACCTCGGCCTCCCAAAGTTCCGGGATTACAGGTGAAAGCCACTGCGCCTGGCCAAGGATTTTAATTATATTGATCCTACCTGTATTTCAGCATCATCTTTTTTACTAGACCTGCTATCCCCCTGTGATTAAGGCCTAGTTGGCTGTGCATATATTGTTAGCCATGTCCTGCTAATAATGACAATTCTAACTGGCTGCCTGGTGTTGCCTTTGCTAAGGCCTGGCTTGCTCATAGCTAGCCTAACTGAGTAAGACAGAGCATATCAGGAACAAGAGTTAATGTAGTTGTTAGATAAGTTTCCCAGTTTTTGTCTTTTCTTTTCATTCAAACCAGAAAATAAAAATAAGCTTTCTTCTTTTACAGCTCCTAAGGTATTTCCCTATTTATCATTAATTAGTACAGTGGTAGAAACCATTATTTTTATAACTACAGAAAAAGCTTATATGGTTAAAAAGGGAGATTTTCACCTTGATGGTACTTAAGTAACTTTCACAAATTCAAGAAAACATCTTTCTTTAGTCTTATCTACTAAAATATATCCCTTGGATACTGATCTTTAATCTAAGCTGTATTATTTATAATAATGGTGATTCACAGTTATTTTACTCCTAAATAACAATAGGTATTATTTTTTAAAAAGACATGAAGTACTATCTCTTTCACTGACTAAAGAATACATAGGAAAACAACAAAATTGACATAAAACATTAATGAAAGGATTTTATAGAAACATATCTCAAATACTGTGTAAAAGATGATATAATCTAGATGCATAATGACCCTATCCTACTGAAATGTAAACATTATTTAAAATACTTAAGCCAACAGAGTCAACTTAATTTTAAAACATATATAAGCCACAGTGGCTCACGTCTGTACACCCAACACTTTGGGAGGCTAAGGCAGAAAGATTGCTTGAGCCCAGGAGTTTGAGACCAGCCTGGGCAATAGAGTTAGACCCCATCTTTCAAAAAAAAAAAAAAAAATAGCTGGCAATGTCTGTAGTCTCCGTTACTCAGGAGGCTAAAGTGGGAGGAACACTTGAACCCAGGAGGTCAAGGTCATGATTGCACCACTGCTCTCCAGCCTGGGCAACAAAGCAAAATTCTGTCTCAAAAAAAAAAAAATATATATATATACACATATATATATATATATCTCTATATCTCTCATATATATATCATATATATTTTTATTTTATATATAATTTGAAAACAAATTTTGATTTTATGTAAATATGTGATTAAATATAGTTAGCAAAGTCAGACAACATAACATGCAGTGTTAGTACAGAGAAAAAGTTCACATGAAGGCAATTTAACCCATCTTATATTAAAGTACGCTGATGTACCGAAGCAGCATTTTCTGGCAGGAAGAGAGTCAGAGAAGAGAAGAAGAAGCATGCCTTCTGACTATGACTTCTGGTGTTTACATATTTTTTTCTTTCTAAAAAGTATTCATAGCAGTTAGTTTTTTTCTTTGCCTCCTAGAATAAGATCTCAGCTGATCATGTGAATTTCTGAACCTGTTTAAAAGTCAGAACCTGCAAATGAAAACAAAGCTATTTTTGTAAGTCTGGCATTCCAGTGCATTCTGCCCCAGCTGGATTAATGTATATGTGAAGATACTAACTTCAGAGATATGCTGAGATCTCTTCCACACAGTCTAGATTTCAATTCAGCAGTTACAGAGCAACTACCTGACATGCGAGGCAATGTGCCAAGCACTTTCATATGCTGAACTTCAGATCTGAATTCTTTCACATTGACATTCATGCAGATGTTGAAATAATAATATATTCCTGACCACGTAAACACTTCTGTTAAAAAAGACCAGTACTATTCATTTCTATATTATGACTTTGGTATATAGTTTTCTAAATAATACATTTCAATATTATCAGAAACCATCTATACAGCCTAATTCTGATTTAACTAACTCATTATACCTAATACTAAGGAACAGTCCTTCTGTAAGCCTTAAGATTCCTTTCCTATACTTTTACAAGATGTAGACTGACAGGAACCTTCTTTTAACTCCAGTTATTACTGTGAACTGAGGGAAGCTGTTTAGCTTTTATGAAACTCCATTTTCTTAGCCGTAGAATGGGGATAAATATATGTAACACGAGGTTGCTATAAGAAGTAACATGTGTAAATTATAGCACATTATAGATGTTAAATAAGATGAGGTGAATGAGACTTCCATATCTGTTGTGGACAATTTTCATACTGATAGCAAATTTAATTATATTACTCATCAGATTGAGAAACTTCGATGGCTGCCAACTGGTAGGAAAAGTTGAAACTCCTCAGCGTCCCAAATCCAGCACAACAAATTTACTGCAGCTTATTTTTTCTAGCTTCACCATTCACCTTCCACACTAGCATATAAATTCTTCATGCTACTCTCAGAGAATGTGCCTCAAATCAGCCATGGTCTTTCGAACCTCAATGTTTTTACACATGTGAATTCCCATCTAGAATGCCACCATCTACCCTCCCACTTCTCTGTGATAAACTCTGACTTAAACGTCACAGCCCAATTCAAACACTATCTCTGCTGCAAGTTTTCTCTAGTTCCCCAGGATTTACTTAATTGTTGTATCTTTTTGCTCAAAAACCACTTTTACTTACCTAAAGGATTGCACTTAATCTGTATGGTCCTTACACATCCGCTTTTCCCTGCCTTCGCGTTAGAATATACTAAATTAGCAACTCCCAATCTAGGGGCAATGATTCTTTTAGTGGGCCGGAATCACCAATTCTTTCAGTTAGGCAGAACTAGAACTCTGTCCTTTTCATGGTTATTTCCCTGGCACAGTGCTAGGTATACAGGAAGTCCACAGTAGGTTAAAGGGGGCCAAGAAACATTCTGAGGATTTTAGGGTAGCTAGGACAGAAATAATGGCAAAGGAATAAAGAGAGTGACACTGCAAAGGGAACCATCTTGGCTGCTACTTCTTCAGCTCCCACCAGTGGGACCGGTTTCTTCATAGTTTGCCATCCAGAGGCCTGATCCTATTTATCTAAAAGCCTTAGCCCTGGTTCCAGCGTTATGCTCAGCATGAAAACAGATTTCCTCTGAAAGTTAAATATATCCTACTTCAATGCCACCAATTACATGATGACATTGATTGTGAGACCTATAATTTCAGAGATAGAAGAGGAAAAGTTACATATATACACACACTCAGAAGTATATTACATACCGATATATGCATGTTATATATATGTGTGTATATGTGCATGCATAGCTTATATTTGTATGTTTTAATGTATGTCTTAGAACCAACTGAAGAAAATATGAAATATACTATCAGATTTGAAGAGAGGATTTTGATTTCTGTCTGCTTTCCCTATGTTACCAGCAACAAAAGAAAGAAAAAAAAAATGAACATTTGAGAACTTTAAAGTATTGTCGGAAATCTGACACAAAGGCCCAAGGAGGAAGTACCTTGGTGTGGAGCCCAAATGGTGCCAGTGGAAGGGTAAATAAGCAGATCAGAAATCCTCGGAAATGTGACAAAATGACTACGGAACCATTCATTCCTAAATTTAAACCGAGCAAGTATGTATGTGTCAGGCACCACACCAAAGACCAACAACGTTCCTGTGAATAAAATCAGAGAGCACCCTTGCCTTTAAGAAACACTGTCTTGTGGTTCAGGCAGAGTTGATTAAACAATCATAAACATAAATACATCATTACAAACTGAGATAGGTGACACAAAGGAAAGGAACAGGAGTTAGGAGCACATATAGAAAAAATAAAACCTAGCCTAGACTGGGGAAAAGCAGGCAACATAATCCTTAGGCAATAGCATTTGAATTGATAAGGAAATAATACGGGAAAGAAAATGGAGTGCTGTTTCCAGACTAAGGGAACAGCATATGACATGGAAAAAAAAAAAATTGGCCCCTTCCAGGAACTGAGAAAATGCATAGTGATAGAGAGCCAGAGAAGGAGAGGGCAGAAGCTACACTATATGGAACCTTGTAGGCAACCAAATATTACTAAGATATAGGTTGGGAGGGAAATAGACATGGCGCATGCGAACAAACAATGTTACTGAAAGAGCTGATTCAAAACTGATGACAGTTTAAGCTCCAGTGATGAGAATGAAGATCAAGAAGACTGATGGATTCAAGAGATATTTAGAGAGTAGAAAGTCAATGGTATGTGTTAATGAATTGAATAGTGTCATGGGAGTGGAAATAAATTTTCTAACTTTGTGTACCTGGCTGTCTTTCACCAAGACTAGGTAAACTGGAAGAGACTCTGTTTGGGAAGAGATGAGCAGAATATGGTGTGATGTAAATGTTATGAGTTCAGCTTCAGAAATGTTGAGTTTGAGATACCCTTAAGAGGTCCAAGCAAAAATGTTGATCAGGGAATTGAATATGGGTATGACGCTTAAAGGAGTGTCTAGGCCAGAAAAAGGGTCTAGGATTGACCCCAGATAGATACGGGACTAGCTGACAAGGTAAAAGGGCCTTGGACTTCTCTTATTTCCTTAACTTTAGCAACTAATATAGTTGTTCTCAATTTATAGGGTGCCTCTAGCTCTTAGAGCTGAGGAAATCTTGGTTCTAGTTGAACTGAAAAGATGTATTCATAATATCCCATATTTGAATTCTGGATATGTTTTTCAAAGAAACATAATATTTTGCTTCTACTAAACCAGTATTTCATTCTCATATTTTCCAGGAGGAAAACATTTGGGGTGGGTGGTGGCAAACCATGAATAATTAAAGAAAAGTCCTTCTGAGTCCCAATAACTCCCTTACAGTTTGGAAGATTTGCAAATATAAATGAAATATAATCTAGCTATAAGCTTGAGATTGCCTATATTGTTAATTATGAAACATTATAATGTTAAAATTACAGAAAGTTAAAGCATTCATACGCATTTAAAAAATATTAAGTTACTCAGTTCAGCAACTTCATTAAGATAACCTTATGAGTTTGTGTTTCCTATTCTACAGATTATACTATGTAGAAATTCTGTGCAGACTAGAAATTTATAACATGTTAAAACAGTATTTAGAATACAGTGAATGTATCGTTATTAATACATTGTTTTGAAATAGTTATATCAATGTTGTATTTGAAGAATAAATATGCATATGCATACAGCTCTCCATCTTGAGAAAATATTTAAAAATAATGTAAGCACTAGAAAATTACTCTTGTATACGTTTTTTAATTTTTAATTTTTTAGAGACGCTCTGTTGCCCAGGCTGGAGTGTAGTGATGCAATCATAGCTCACTGCAACCTGGAACTCCTGGGCTCAAGGGATCCTTCCGCCCGGGCCTCCAAAAGTGCTGGGATTACAGGCATGAGCCATTGCCCCCGGTCCTCTTCTCCTACACCTTTTCCTATCTTGCCTGTTTTTGGTCAGCTGTGACCAGGTAGAAAGAACATTAATAGCTTTGTGCTGCCCTCTAGTGGTAGGTAGAGAATATAGTCAATGAGAAAATTTTGCCTTTTAATACTTCTTTCAATGAAATTCTAAGAAAAAGTAGATATTATAAGAATAATTCCTTAATTTGCTATCACTGACAGAAGACAAAGAGTCATTCAGCACCACTGCTATCAATTTATTACTCTAACTCCAAATAGTTTTCATCGTAATAAACAAGCACAAATTCATGCTTATCTTAAAAGCAAATTCTTAGCTTAGGCGCGGTAGCTCACGCCTGTAATCCCAGCACTTGGCGATGCTGAGGCAGATGGATAACCTGAAGTCAGGAGTTCGAGACTAGCCTGGCCAACATGGTGAAACTCCGTCTCTACTAAAAATACAAAAATTAGTTAGGTGTGTTGGCACGCACCTGTAATCCCAGCTACTCGGGAAGCTGAGGTGGCAGAATCGCTTGAACCTGGGAGGTGGAGGTTGCAGTGAGCCGAGATTGTGCCACTGCACTCCAGCCTGGGCAACAGAGTGAGACTCTGTCTCAAAAAAAAAAGAAAAAAAAGCAAGCAAATTCTTATCATTTGTTAGGTACCTTGATCTATTATTGCGTTATATCAAGGGTAGTTTAAGAAATGCCTTAGCTATATTGAACACACACACACACACCTCTCAGCTTTAACACTAAAGAAACACCTCGGCCGGGTGCGGTGGCTCACGCCTGTAATCCCAGCACTTTGGGAGGCCGAGGTGGGCGGATCACGAGGTCAGGAGCTAGGAGACCATCCTGGCTAACACGGTGAAACCCCATCTCTACTAAAAATACAAAAATTAGCCAGGCCTGGTGGCGGGCGCCTGTAGTCCCAGCTACTCTGGAGGCT